ATACATGTTTCTGCAAACTGTGTGATAGTTGTGTGAAAAGTAAAACACAGAAACGTACAGATAACTGTTTTAAGAGAACCATAAATCTTCAGTTTTAGTCCAGAACAACAACAACAACAACAAGAAAAACTAACAACACACATTATTTGAAAGTCCTTTCTCATTCAAGACGAGAATTATATCAGGACAACCACCAGAGGTGAGTGTTGTGAGAATGTGATTGTGATTTTGTACGTCAGTTTTCTCTTTTCCCTGTGAATGTTGTCTTATTCGTACTTCCTATTCATCTAGAGTGTTGTGTAAGGACAGAGAGCCATTGAATAAAAAGCAAGGGTCAAGCCAACTTGGTTCAGAATCACTTGCCCACTTCCCCATCTTGCAGAATGAGGTTTTATATTATACTTCTCACTGTTGTTTACCTACTGAATTCATGTGAATCACAAGGTAAGAACTTATTTATATTTCTTGTTTTTGATCAACTTTTTTTGTTTTCAAAGTTAATGTTGTTGTACTGTAGCTCTACTTAAGCAACAATAAGTAAGATTAGACCCTTTATGTTCTATTTTTGAATTGAGAAATGTAAAAAATTCTCAGTGATGTGCTCAATGTTATGGTGATGCTGATAACATTTAAAATTGTATTGGGCTATTTTGTACTGTCGTTTGAAACCACACCCATGTGTCACAAAGGTCCCGGTAATGTAAAGGAAATTAATCTTCAGTGTAAAGTGAATGTAAATTACAGCAGAAACGTGAACTAAAATCACCAGATGTTAAGATTATTCAAAACTATTGATATCTTTATGAAGACGTTGATCCATACGAAGATCACAATTATATTCTGATCCCCGTGTTCCCAAAGTGGCAAATTTAGAGGTGGAAGTACATGCTTTTGGAGTCCTTTTTTGATTTTAGTTTTAATATTAAATTTTCTTTTTTAACCTTCAGAATAGTTGAATCTGTGGAACAACAACAATTGAACAAGGTGTAAGAAAGTCCCCTGTTTTTCATACGAGACAGAATGGAAAGAATTTCTCACATGAAAAAGAAACATAAATACTTAACTTTCACCTGATAAACGCCTCTAAACTGCTTAAAGGGTCAAAGCTAATCCAAGATTTAAAGATATTTTCCAACCTTTGATTATTCATAAGATGAAGGTTTTTTATAATTACATATAAGAATAGAGAAATATTCAGTTTTTAACCAATAAACATATATTGTGTGATATTTACTGTATGATGTGTCTACTGTTTTACAGGGATCAGTGCTGAGACTCCTGTGTTTGTGCTGAAGGGAGAGGATTTGCTTCTGAATGTCACCAAAGCTGTTGTTCTTGGGAATTTAGATTTATTTTCCTGGAAATTTAATAAAAGTATCATAGTGAGATTTAATTCTAAGGACAAAAAAAGTCTCTGCTAATTACACTGGGAGGCTTGAGTTTCCTGTGAACAATTACTCTGTGAAGTTGAAGAATCTCCAAGAGGCAGACAGCGGAGTTTATACTGCTGAAGTGACAAAGGAGTCAATAGAAGAAGTAGCTAAATATAACGTCAAAGTTCAAGGTAGGTTTCCTCTCAAACACTGATAGAGTTTCTGTGGTCTTGTTTCTAAAACTCTTCACCTGCTTCTTCCCTCCTCAGATCGAGCGTCTCTCCCTCTCCTCACAGTGAGCTCTGTCTCCAGAAACTCTCCCTCATGTAACTTCACTGTGACCTGCAGCTCACAGGACTCTCACATCAACAGCACGTTCACATGTGACACCAGAACCTGCAGTCAGGAGGGAGGAGAGCGGTCAGAGGGGATCCCGGATACTTTTCTCCAGGTCCACCAATCAAGTTTTTCGATCATCTGTAACCATAGCAACCATGTCAGCTGGACCAACGACACCAGAATAATCAAAGATGTCTGCGCCAAACCTTATGGTAAGACTGAAAGAGAAAACTACTTCCTGATAATAATACACAGTTTAGAGTCAGAACATCAGAGCATACAAGCTTCTTTTTTTTATCCAAAACTTTTATATGTTTGTGAATAAGATACATTTTATTCCACAGTGTGACAAATACTGTTTGTTATAAATATAGCAAAACCCATGTATTACTCTGTTTTTCAGACTCTAAAAACATTTAAAGGGGACCTATCATGCAAAATGCACTTTTTTATGTCTTTTATACATAAATATGTGTCCCCGGTGTGTCAGGGAACTCACGCAGCGTCAGAAAATAAAACCCTCTCTCTTTTCCTCCGTACCCAAATCTCTAAAAACGGGGCTACAACGGAGCTGATCCAGATTTGTGTCCGATATGACGTAATATCGGAAATGTAGGCTGTCTTTACACCCACGGCCCTATCAGAAACGTTGCTATCAGAAACAATGCCCGACTGTTTTGGACGTAATATGGTCGGTGTTGACATTAGCATCGCTAACACTCAGAGCTAACCTGTACTGGAGAGCATGTGTGTGAAGAAGCAGGAAATAAAAAGGAACTCACCTTGTGGTATAACCGGCAAGAGAGAAAGCCTTTGAGCTCCATACTGTTTCAGAAAGAATCCTTGATAATCCATGATATGGCGTTTCATCACGGCAGTATTTAGTTTAGACAGTAGCTGCCGGGTCCCGCAGGAGCTCAGCCCCCTCCTTTTTTTATCAAGTCTTTTTTTTTTTAAAGCTTTATACCCCAAATCAGCACTTTTGAAACAGGAAGTGAAATAGAGGGATATGAGGCATGGCTAGAATGGGTGATCTGTTTGGTATTTTGAGCAAAACACTTCATAGACATGTTTTTAATATATTTGTATACATCTGAAACCTATGCTATTGCCTAAAAATAGCATGATAGGTGCACTTTAAAGGAAGAGTTTATTTGTACCTCATTGAACCCCAGGAAGAGCGCCGGACTCTGAGGAAAATATTCGTTATGTCCAAACGGCGGTACTACAATTTCCGTATCAGTCCGTGACGTCACTGGGCCCAGAAATACTTTTTCCCATTGACTAACATTAGGAAAGAGACGTCTGTAAATCAGCGGATCATTTAAAAAACAACAAAAAAACTACCCAGTATGAACTATTTTATAGCCCTTATTATAATCATTAGGTCCTTAAAGTTGTAAAATGCACTAAAAGAGGAATCTAGATTTATTTTCTGTCTCAATTCATTCTACTGAGCCGAGAGTGGGAGCTCGGGGGGCGGGGCTTAAGGGGCGCATGCTCTGTGAGCGCACATACGGGTTCTTCTGCTCTGGCAGCCAGGCATGACGGGTAATATGTGACGTTTCGCTCTCTCAAAAGTTGGGCCATTTTGTCCTCATGCGCCAATGAGCAGCTCTCATAGGAAATAACGAGACCCCGCCTCCGACGCTGTATCCAGTTCTTATTATACATCCATGCATTGAACCAATTACAAAAAAACATTTGCAGTGCAAATATTGCTAACTATGTTTGTCCTCGTCTCAACATGACCTCTTTTAGTGTCCGCTGCTGTGAGCAGTGTTTTTCAGATAGGACGAAAAAAACTAGAAAAGTGCATAAAACCAAATTAAAAGCTTGTTTTTCTTAATGGCACGTTTCAGTTAAACCTGTATAAAAAAATATAATGATGAGCCTTATCTTTCAACTATAATGAAGTGTTTTAATTAAGTATTTTGGAGTTTATAAAACTAAACTGGGAATTAGTCGGTGAAATTGGGGAAGTTTCTGCTCCAGTCATTTGACTATCAAAACAAGCTATTATTATCTACCAGCGTTGCTTTGATTAAACAAGAAGCAGGTGGTGTTTACATTTTCTTATTCAGTGACCTGTTGAAGGTTGGTAGTTTCACATTGAACTGAATAACTGTTTGGTTTAGCATATTAGGGTTAAAGCCAACAAATGAAATTATTTAAAAAATGTTGTATAATTAAATCTAACAGTCTGGCAGGATGTGAGGCAGTAACACACTTGACTAAGTTTATGAATTTAACCAAGCATTATAATGTGGCTTATGTTTTTATTTACAGTTCCTCCCCAACCAAACCCTGTTCCCATCATTTTGGGAGTATTCTTCACAATTCTCATTCTCGCCATCATTGGTGTAGTACTTTGGTGTCTTCGAACGAGAAGAACAAGTAAGTCTAAGTGTGCATTTTAACATTTTTGTTTCCTGTGGGAATTAAGTGTTTTATTCAAGTTCATAATATGCCCCCTACACATCCCCATTGTCTATTGAGCAATCACATAAAACATATCTGAAACCTCTCATACAGCAACATGCTCTTTATAATATTCTATACACAGAGGCTTTAAAGTGTTCAGCTGTTTGAAAAAGATAATTAGGACACAACCAACATTTGGACTCAATGCAGATGCAGCTCAAGTAATGAAAATCTTATGAAGGTAATAATCATTAAACGTGAAGCTCTCAAAATGAAATGTAAATTAATGCAAATCCACTTTTTTTTTTTTTTTACTGACCTGCAGGAAAAAGAGTGATTGTCGAAAATACAGTTTATGATACTGCTCAGGTAAGAGACAAGGTTTATTTTTAAACTTTTCACAAAAAAATGTGACTGAATTTTTAGATTTTTAACAATTTAAACAGACTTGGACTGAATATGAGGAACAAGCTAAATCCATAACTGGAGCCTCAGACAGTTATATTGCCTACTATGCACACTAATCACTATACACACAGTATATCTGCATATATGTATTTGCTATTTACTGTATAAAGAGGAGACCTGTAATTCTCCGTGTCTTTCTCTAAATGCAAAGTACTGTATGTGTTAGCAGTGCAAATGCTTTTTTTATTTGGCCTTACTCTGCTTTTGATTAATAACACCTCAAATGTGATGCCTTTTAACTGAAAATACAAATGAATCTTACATTTTTGTTAAACACCATTATCACTTTTAGAGTCAATAATATGGAATTGTATTGTATTTGAGGAATATATGACATATAAAAATACAATATTATACAAACAAACTTTGGTAAATCAATGTTTTGTTCTGTTCCAGTTCGTAGCTCCAGCCCGGACTCAGGATCCAACAGATGATGAAGCTTCAGCTCCTTATCTGTCCTCCACCTACGCTATGGTTGGTCCTCACACTGGACCCCCAGCTCCCACTGAGACTAGAAACACAGCTCCGCTAGAGAGTGTGTACGCTCAGGTGAAAAATACCACACCAGGTCCTTGAAAAATGATCAGGTGTCGTTTTCCACATACTGCACTTGTTGGGATTAAGATTTATGGCAACTGAGCCATGGACTTTATTTTCATACCCTCTTTTGGTGTGAACATCCACCCACAAGAGAAAAAGCATTTGAGCTCCATACTGTTTCAGAAATAATCCTTGATGTGGTTTGGAACATGATATGGCATTTAATCACGGCAGAATTTAACTGTATCTGCCGGGTAATTCTGAGCAGGCATTATCTCCCCGTCCTATTTTTTTTGTTCAAGCCAAGGACCCAAAAAGGACCTTTAAGAGCAACAGCAACCACTAATCCTAGTTAGCATCAAGCTAACAACAAGAAGGACATTGGATTGTCTCCTTCTCCTCACTGTTTAACAACAGGCTTTGAGAGTAACAGATTACATGTAGTGGAATTCATTTGATTGTATGCAAATTATTTGTACAGTTTCTACCCTTAATGTTACAAAAAGATATATATCATTACTGTCTCACAACACAGAGTCTCGAGTGAAACCAAAGCTAATCTTCCTGTACATCATTGTTGCCTCGAATTAATTAAAGGTGGGGTAGGTAATTTTGGAGAAACCAGCTTGAGTGCGCTAAAATTTGAAAATACACAGCCGGAAAAAATCTGCCCCCTCCTTACACACACGAACGCGCACATGACCAATGAGGGCACGAGATAAGTTTGTGCACAGATGGAAGGCTGACAGGCAGGTAGGCCATCCAATCATTTGAGCCGGGCCGGCTCAAATGATTGGTCGTGCTTTTTACAGTACTACGGCTTCCACAGATGACATTTTTTTATGGATTTTTGGTCAAAGCACTTAAGATATTCATTGCTATCGGGATGTTAAGAGCATTCCATGGAATATAACAAAAAGTGTATCTCGAGCCGGTTTCTCAAACTTACCTACCCTTTAATTTAATGGAAAATTCTCCAGCATTCAGTGTTGAAAGGAGAAAAGTGAAACAACATTACCGCCATTGAAAGCTTTGCCTTCCAGCTGTTAATATGCAATCATTTGCCAAGAAGTCAACATTTAATTTAAAGAAGAATTTGCAGGTTAATGATTTGTAAATTATGGTTTTCTGTGGTCCACTACTTGGTAGCCGAGCTTATTTAGGATACTTTCACTCCTCTTCTTTTAAAAACCAACACCAACATTGATTTTGCTAAGTCAATGTAGCTGCAGGATTCTTCATTGTTTTAGTTTCAATAAAATCACTTTCAATAAGTGTCAGATAAATGTGATGTAATGTAAACCTGCCGGTCCACTGCAACTCTGACTACTTTTAAATCCAGGCTGAAGACTTTTCTTTTTGCCGCTGCTTTTAATTGAACTATTCACATCTTAAACTGCACTGTAACTATTATTCATTTATTTTTTATTTTAATGTTTATTTTATTATCTTTGCTTTTTAATTACTGTTTTGAAATGCCATTTTCTTAATGTCTTTCATTTTTGTAAAGCACTTTGAATTGCCTTGTGTTGAAAGATGCTATATAAATAAACTTGCCTTGCCTTGCCTAATGTGTAATGTGAGTATGTCATATAATGTTATGTGAGAGTATTTCATGTATTAAATTAAAAAGTATTTGTAAACTATATTTTTCGAGCCTTTTATTTGAATTCTTTAGAGAATATTTTGCCTGAATATTCAATGAGTTGTTCTAAGGTTACATTGTTCTGTTGTTTTATATTTTACACCTAGGTTAAAGCCTTGTTGTATTTATTTGCATTGCTTTGATATTGATTTGTCCCAAAAGTAATGGAAAGTAATTAGTTTACGTTTTATGAATATCAGATACTTACAGTAGTTTACTGATGATTAGGTAATTAGTAAATGTAATGGGATACTTTGTCACAGCAGAGTGAAACAAAGAATTGCCACATGATCTTTAGTAGAATCCAAAAAATCACAAACATATAAGACGAGTAATTTGTTCATTTGCATTAACACATTATAGATAATGAAAAATATAGGAATAGAACAGCTTTATTAAATGGCGCATGTATGTACAGTATGCTTTCATTCAAAATGTTAACAAGCATAAAACATACTGTACAAAGAGCAACTACATATTTTTTAACATCTTGATCAAATAAAGATGTTCTTTGTGTTTTTTTGAAAATGGTGTCACAATGGCTTATGAACATTTTAAAATGTTTTGCAAACTCTAATCTTCCTACGGACCACCTGCGATCCCCCCAACTACCCCGAGGGGTCCCCCTAAGCCCCGGTTGGGAACCAGAACTATGAGTTTATTTGTTCTTGTTGAGCTTCTCCATGAGATGAACCGTGATGACAGCAGACACCATGATGATCAGACCCACAGAGAACACACACGTCTTCACCAGGCACACAGATAACCCCTCTGGATCTGAAACACAACAAACAGAGAGTTTCATATCAAAACCGACACAGAGATCCAGACTGAGACGCACAACTGAGTGGAAGCAGCAAATCAGGTATTACTACTTTAACAGTTTGAGTACATTACAGTTTGCAATTACTTTGAGTCCTACATTGTGAAATACTTGCATGTCAAACAGCATGGTGGGGGTTTAATGTTGAATTCATGTTTATTCTGTTCTTCAAATATGCAGATATTTTTGTACTTATACAAATATTCATGTAGAAACTCTATCAGTGTTTGAGAGGTTAACAAACCTACCTTGAACTTTAATCTTGTATTCTGCTACTTCTTCTGTTAACAGCTTTGACACTACAGCAGAGTAAACTCCATTGTCTGCCTCTTGGAGATTCTTCAAGATCACAGAGAAATTGTTCTCAAACTCAAGCCTTTCAGTGTAATTAGCAGAGACTCCTTTTTTATTAGAAATGAATCTCACTATTCTGTTTGTGTTAAATTCCCAGGTAAAAGAATCGGTTTCCCCAAGAACAACAGCTTTGGTGACATTCAGAAGCAAATCCTCTCCCTTCAGCACAAACACAGGAGTCCCAGCACTGATCCCTGTAAAACAGTAAACAGATACAGAATTCATAATAACCCAGTGACCATCATAGTGCAAAATTCATGTATGTTCAGCTTTTGTTTCTCTCCTGCTAATTAGTATGATAAGTAACTTTTGCTGAAAGTGAACAGACATGAAATACAAATGACTTACAATTTTCCATTACCATTAATACGACTCCTCCTCACACAGAAATGTCAGTAACAATTCTGGTGAAACTAAACCTAATGATGCATTGTTCCTATACTCCCCCCCCCCCCCACCATCATCCACATCATTCACCAACTTTGATCCTTTCCTCCAGATACTAAAGTAGCTTTGTGCAAGAACTCTCTAATAGTTCCTCATTGGTTTGTAGAATAGGAAAAAGGAAACATTTCAAGTTAACGTTATGTTTTAAAAAAGCTCAGAAGATGTCAGTTTGCAACACCATTATACTTGGTTTAAATAAAGATGTCTGCCAATATTTTCTTCTCTAAACTTCTTTTTCAGTCTCTGTCCGGTTGCCCTGCCTGAATACACAATGTCACAGCAGGTTACAGTGTGTGTTCTCTTTTGCTCTAACACACACATCACCAAGTCTTCTTCCTGTAACAACCACATAACCTTTTGCATCATGTGACAATATGAACTTCTCTTTTTTAAAGTTCCTGTCTTAACTCTGTTTTGGGATCTTTTGATAAAGACCTTTTTTTAATTCAAATGTTTGTCAAGAAAGCAGATTTTAATGTGAAAGTCAATTACAGGATGATTAACAAGGCACTTTACATTTCAGTTGGTGTATGTTGCACCAGATGAAGCAAAAGATGGAAAAGAAAACATTACAATTGTGTCAATACATTACATAAAACCAATAAAAGGTGTAGTTTGCACTGTTTATTACTCACATTAGTTTATGTGTTGCTTTACTTTAACTCTTCTAGCTGGTGTGCTGCATAAACAATCATAACCACTTCCTTTCTCAGAGCTCTGTGTCTCACACCTTTTGCATTTTCCCATGACTGCATACCAAACTAAAGATACCTGCGGTAACATGTCAGAGATATCTTCACACAGCACATATTCTGCACTGGCAAAACAAATAACTAACCATAAAATAAGGAAGGCCAGTCTTGTGTTCCTTATACAGGCCAGGGCTTTTTGTTGTTGTTTTCTCATAAAATACTCTACTATGACTTTTCAGTGACATTCTTTACGACATATTTAACTGTGACTTATTTTATGATTTTATACCATTGTACTTTTTATGGCCCACAACACCAGGACATTTTATGGCAGATGATAATAACAGGACTTTTTGTTATGATAATAACAGGACTTTTTGTTATGATAATAACAGGACTTCTTAATGACACACTTTACAATGACATATTATGGCAGACTATACTTTTACTAGTTTTAATTAGATTGTAATGTCCTACCGTCCTATAAAACATCGTACGACTTTTGTCATATTTGGCTTGACTTTTTATACTGTACTATGACATTTGTATTGGATACCAAACCTTTACTTTTGTAATTACTTTTTTGCCATGCTATAAAACTTGAATGACCATATTACATATATATATTGTATATTACATATACAGTACAGTACAAGGACTCTTATGACCTGTTGTGACATTTCTTTGTGATATACTTTACTGTGACTCCTTACATATTTGTCTTTATAGCATATCATACTGTGACACTTGTATTATGGCCAAACATACTTTTAAATGACATACTGTTTGGTGATGCAATGGCCTATTATGATGAGATGTTGTTTTTTTTTATGCTTGACTTATTATGACTTATTATGGCATTCTATTCTATTCTATAAGGACATGTTGTAGATATGCTATAGTTTGACTCTTTAATTGCATTTTTACGAGATGCTATTTATTGAAAAAAGCATATTCTGTTTTTTGTAAAAGGAGCAGATTTTAATAAAATTATCTCTTAGCACAGGACACATTTTTGATGAAAAATATATATTTATTTTCTTTGCTTCTAAGGTTACATTTAACACTTAGTTGTATTCAGTACTGAATACAATACAATCAATTATTGTATTTATTTGCATTGCATTGATATTGATTTGTCCCCAAAGTAATGGAAAGTCATTAGTTTAGGTTATATGAATATCAGATACTTACAGTAGGTTACTGATGGTTAGGTAATTAGTAAATGTAATGGAACACATTGTCACAAAAAATCAAAAACATATGTGTGAGTAATTTTTCCATTTGCATTAACACATATAGATAACGAAAGATATAAGAATAAAACAGCTTTATTAAATGGTGCATGTATGCTTTCATTCAAAAATGTAAACAAGCATAAAACATACTGTACAAAGAAAAACTAAATATTTTTTTTAAATCTTGATCATACAAATAAAAATGTTATTTGTGTTTTTTGAAATCTCGGTAATCTGAAGGCAACAAAATGATTTGACCTACAAACAGATTACTTGATATAATCATTGGATTAACACGAATATTCAGCATTTTCTTGAAAGCTGCCTTCTGTGTTTTCCTTGCAAAGCATCAATAATTACATCAAGATGTACTAGCCAAAATGCATACCCCTAAGGCCTTCTGCATGCACAACAGAAATAAAACAGGGACTCAATTGTCAAAAAACCCACTTTCCTAAGTTTTTCTATAAAAGAGTGTGAGATACTGTTTATGTAAGATTGCATGTAGCAGTGGTTCCCGACTTTGAGCTGGTCGCCATTCTATACTATTATTATATTTAGTAGGTACCCCGTCACTCAGCTGGGATGATTCACCTACATTTTCTTTTTGTAACTCTATAACTCACCCTTAATATAAATGCATTTAAACTTGACATTTACACATATTGTGAGTGAACGTAATAAAATGAAGACTCACTTCTAGCAGTTTCAAAATATTTTGCAAAGACTAGAGCTCTTAATTAGACACTTGAGCTCACCTGTCTTTCATAAACTGCAACAAGTCTGGAGGCGGGACACCAGCATTATGAAAATTGATTTGAAAATGTTTTTTTTTTGTGTAAATAATTTGCAATCCCTAATCTTTCTACGTACCCCTGCAATCCCCCCAACTACCCCTAGGGGTCCCCCTAACCCCGGTTGGGAACCAGAGCTATGAGTTTATTTGTTCTTGTTGAGCTTCTCCATGAGATGAACCGTGATGACAGCAGACACCATGATGATCAGACCCACAGAGAACACACACGTCTTCACCAGGCACACAGATAACCCCTCTGGATCTGAAACACAACAAACAGAGACTTTCATATCAACATGAGTGGAAGCAGAAAATTAGTGATTACTACTTTATTTGGATAGCAGTTTGAGTACTTTACAATTTGCAAGTACTTTGAGTCCTACATTGTGAAATACTTGTGAAATACTTGCACTGCAAAGTGCAGTTGAGTTTTACAGACTTTCCATATGCATCATGCAATGTAAAACGGCATGTTGGCGGTTTAATGTTGATTTCATGTTTATTCTGTTCTTCAAATATTCAGGTATTTTTTTACTTATGCAAATATTCAAGTGAAAAGGTTTATATAAAGGTTCTGTATAGACAAACAGCACACTATATGCGTAAAGCATGATGTACTGATGTAATTGTTTTATTTAAAGTTTCTTCATATTCAATTTTTGTAGTTTTAAGTTCACATTTAACACTTGCAGCCAAACAGAGCGGATTATTAATTCACAAATAAGTTTTGTTAAACTTTAAATTCCAAACTATGTGTTATTATCAGGAAGTAGTTTCTCTTACCAACAAGCTGGTGGCAGACATCTTTGATTGTTTTGGTGTTGTTGGTCCAGCTGACATGGTTGCTATGGTTACAGATGATCGATCCACTTGATTGGTGGACCTGGAGAAAAGTATCAGGGATCCCCTCTGACCGCTCTCCTCCCTCCTGACTGCAGGTTCTGGTGTCACATGTGAAAGTGCTGTTGATGTGAGAGTCCTGTGAGCTGCAGGTCACAGTGAAGCTACAGGAGGAAGAGCTATCAGAGACAGAGCTCACTGTGAGGAGAGGGAGAGACGCTCGATCTGAGGAGGGAAGAAGCAGGTGAAGAGTTTTAGAAACAAGACCACAGAAACTCTATCAGTGTTTGAGAGGTTAACAAACCTACCTTGAACTTTGACGTTGTATTCTGTTAGTACTTCTGTTGAACCTTTTGTCACTTCAGCAGTATAAACTCCACTGTCTGCCTCTTGGAGATTCTTCAATTTCAAAGAGTAACTGTTCACAGTAAATTCAATTCTCCCGGTATAATCATTAAACACTTTTTTTTTATCAGAAGTAAATGTTACTAAAACGTTATTTTTATTAAATCTCCAAGAAAAATATTCTAAATCCCGAAGAACAACAGCTTTGGTGACATTCAGAAGCAAATCCTCTCCCTTCAGCACAAACACAGTCCCAGCACTGATCTCTGTAAAACAGTAGACACATCATTCAGTAAATATCACACATAATATGGTTTTCAATTCTGAATGTTACTCAATTTCTGTACTTTATGTCTGACATTCTGATCATCATCTAAACATCATCATCCTATTATGAATTCATAATAACCCAGTGACCACCATAGTGCAAAATACATGTATTTCAAGCTTTTGTGTCTCTCCTGCTAATTAGTATGATAAGTAACTTTTGCTGAAAGGGAACAGACATGTAAAACAAATGACTTACAATTTTCCATTACCATTAATACAACTACGACTCCTCCTCACACAGAAATGTCAGTAACAATTCTGGTGAAACTAAACCTAATGATGCATTGTTCCTATACTTCCCCCCCCCCCTACCATCATCCACACTGTTGTTCACCAACTTTGATCCTTTCCTCCAGATACTAAAGTAGCTTTGTGCAAGAACTCTCTAATAGTTCCTCAATGGTTTGTAGAATAGGAGAAAGAAAACATTTCAAGTTAATGTTATGTTTTTAAAAAGCTCAGAAGATGTCAGTATGCAACACCATACAAATATAAAATATACTTATTTTAAATATGTTTTTTAAGAATATTTGTATACACATGTTTGGCTTCTAATGCTCAGAATTGATAACCAGGATTTAGTTTTCTGCATTTTTCCACTAAAACAAAGGTTTCTTTTTTGGATAGGAAGATACATTCCTGATGGCAGTAGGAAGGTTACAGTTTTTATACTCAACATCAGCATACTTGAAGAAACTCCTCTTGGACCACAGTGATGCCAGGTTTTTAAACTCTTAACGTGTCAAACTGTTTGCTGTTTTAAGCAGGACACAATGACTATAATTAGATAATGTTAAAACATTGAATTAGACGTGTTTTTATCCTACCTCGTGCCTCAGTGCAGACCAGCAGCCCCAGAATCACGGAGATGAACATGACGGTCTCTGTCCGGTTGCCCTGCCTGAATACACAATGTCACAGGTTACAGTGTGTGTTCTGTTTTGCTCTAACACACACACCACCAGGTCCTTTTCCTGTAACAACCACATAACCTTTTGCATCATGTGACAATATTAACTTCTCTTTTTTAAAGTTCCTCTCTTATCTCTGTTTTGGGATCTTTTGATAAAGACCTTTTTTTTAATCCAAACGTTTGTCAAGAAAGCAGATTTTAATGTGAAAGTCAATTACAGGATGATTGACAAGGAACTTTACATTTCAGTTGGTGTATGTTGCACCAGATGAAGCAAAAGATGGAAAAGAAAACATTACAATTGTGTCAATACATTACATAAAACCAATAAAAGGTGTAGTTTGCACTGTTTATTACTCACATTAGTTTATGTGTTGCTTTACTTTAACTCTTCTAGCTGGTGTCCTGCACAAACAACCATAACCACTTCCTTTCTCAGAGCTCTGTGTTTCTCACCTCTTGCACCTCAATGATCTGTTTCAAAGAAAGAGGAACGTGCAAAGATATCTTCACACAGCACACATTCTGCAATGACAAATAACTAACCATAACAAAAGGAAGGTCAGTCTTCTGTTCCTTATACAGGCCAGGGCTTTCTGTTGTTTTTTCATAATTTACAGTAACATGGTAATATGTCGGAATATGTGCTTGATGTGATCCTGTAACCATGCAGGACTTTGGTCAAAAGTGTCAAAAGTCTTCTGCTCTTTTCTCATCAAGCATCACATTATCAGTGTCCTCACCTTGCTCTGAATTATTACTGCAAGTGGATAAAGGTGCAGAGTGCATGCAAAAAACAATAAGAAAAACAGGCAATTTCATTCCACTTTTTTGACCTTGTTAATTTGTTTATGTGCATTGTAGTACCATCATGTTCATAATGCAAACTACCGTCACAATTACTTTATTTCACCCCACCCTAAATCTCCTCCAGAAGATGGGTGTAAATATCCCAGAAATGTAGGAACAATGCATTCAGGCCGACTCTTCTGGGGGCTTCTGTCAAAATAAAGGTCAAACTCAAACTTTGTCCAATTACCACTGACCTTCCTACATGCCTCATTAATCACACTGATGGGGCTTTAATTGAGGATGAAACTGTTCTAAGATACCAGGGACTGGATCTGAGGAATGATAGATATTCACATTCTCCTCTTGTAAAATAAAGAATAAGTAACTAGTAAATGAAACTGTAATGTGCTACTCTTTTACTGACAATGCGTGTTTTGAATTGATGGACATCTTGAATGAGAACAATGTTTACGAGCTGAAACAAATGGAAAACTATAAAGAGACTGTGATGGAAAAGTCTTAGAGGAATAGTTTCAAGTCAAGAGATTTTCTTTGAATATTAAAGGGCCTTATTTTACTTATTTTCAGGTTCATATTTGTATTTAGTGTCTCTCCTGTGACATGTCTCCTTGCTCTAATGTTCAAAAAGCTCTTTATTTTTCTCATGCTGCCTGTGCTGCAGCACCTCTTTTCACCCTCTGTCTGAAACCAGAGCCCAGTCTGCTCTGATTGGTTAGCTGGCCGGATCTGTTGTGATTGGTCAACCGCTTAGAGATGTCCCGCTCCTTAGCCAATCATGTAAAATGTGTGGGAGAGCTAGACAGCAGAAGCCCAAACGTTACAAACTGATGTCATTGTATTCTTAAAGTAAACAAGGAAGTCCAATGGAGGCATTTCCAGCCGGGGAGCAGTGTGCAGGAGAGAGGAACTTTGGGATTTTAGGCTTCGAAGACCATTTACATGCACACAAACCTATATAAGGGAAACCCCACATACAATGAAAATAGATTCCTTTAAATAAATGAATTGCTCACAGCAAGAGTCTGAAAAGGCAGAATGAATGTTCTTTTTGTGGTTGATTGCAACAAAAAACAGAACCGTTGGAGACCAGATGCAGACAGTACCTTATTTGGTCAGTGTTTTAACATTCCATCCACCCCTCTTACGAGAAACCATGTTAAAACACCTCCAAATATGGTATCAATGAGATTATTGACCTTAAAGGGACATTTTATCATCTTGAGTTCAAGCAGAGTGGTGAGCACTTCTCCATTCTGTACGCAGACCTGTGATTATGCAAAAAGAGTTATATTGGTTATAATAAAACATTCCAATGTAATACTGAGCAATTATTTCTCTTGTGGACATTATGCACTTGTTTATCAACAATTACAAATTCAAATGCACTCGCAGTATAATCAGAGGCATCCCTCTTCTATTAGAAGATGGATTATTTAAATCATGGTGTTAAGAACCCAGGCCGATCAGTAACAACTGTCGGCTGATCATTCTTCCTCTGTGTTAATGCTGCTGAAGCCTCTTCTTTCACAAAGGATCATAGATGTGAAGATGCATCTAATGAGGCTTTATCCAACCGGCATGTCTGTGAAGTTTGAGGCGGAGCAGGAGTCCAGCTAAAACACTTGTCCTTCAACACAAGCATGCAGTGTTTCCTTATCTTTGAAAGCACTCCTTTATAAAGCGTCTGTTAAGGAAGAACAGCAGATATAGACACACAGCCAATTGGTACAATGAATGCAAACATTGGGCGTTCTGTTGGAGGACGCCATGCTGGCATTACTACCTGGAGAGAAACCAAGAAAGATTTGTTTTTCAGCTCCTTGGGTTTTGGTGGCTGTGGATAGCGGATTGGGAAAGATTATGTCTAGTTGTATGTCATTAAAATGCAGACGATGCATCAGAGACAAATCTGTCATTGTTTTTTCAACAGATTTGGTTTCTTACTGACAGAAAAGAGATTCATGCTGGGATTCTCAACAAATACATCTCTTCACACTGCAAACATTGTCAAATGTTGCGACACACAAGATAAAATTATATAAAATACACCCTCACATTTTCATGCTGTAACCAGAAGCATGATATAAACTACTTCCAAATGTTTTTTAATATAAAATACAACAGATAACTTATGGTTAAAGAAATAGGATTAGCTGTACACAATTTGAATCAAATAAACACAATTTATACCACATTAAACAGCTGATTTCTTTTGTTGGGTTAGTCTGATAAAGGTTTTAAGAAATATGTAATGTAAATGTTACTTAATGCGAAAATTAAAGCAATGTCAATATATTTACTGTGTCGGTGTTACGGCCTGGCTCATCGGCTGCAACAAAGATGGGAGACCAGACAAGTTAAGTGTAACAAAAGCATATTTATTTACAATGCCACAAAACCAAAGGTCTTCAAAGAAACCTAATAAATGTGGAAGTCAGTTATCAGTAATGATTGCGTGTATGGGTGTGTGAAAATGTGCAGAAACAAAGACGCGGCCGTGTCCAACAGAAGAGTGAGAGGGCAGTATGGGTTGGTGTCGACGGCCCAGGTGTGGCTCATCAGGTTGATCACCTGAAACACAAACAAGAGCCAGCAAGCAGAACACAAAGGCATAGACCCCTAGTGGAGTGAAGGGGGTCGTAACACTCCCCCCCCCCCCCCTTAAAGAAGGGGTTCCCCCTAGGAACACTATCCAAAGTAGTAACCAACACAGAATAATATTTAATATATATAATTATGACATGTAAAATATAATAAAAACATGAGAATACAGTAAAGAAAATGTCATACAAAAAGTCAAAATATAGCAACATAAATATAAATAATAAAAAGCTAATGATAGAAAGTCCTATTTTGGTTCAGTATGACTGCAATCAATAATTGATCCACCAATCCTGTAACAGCCTCCAAGAATCAGTCAGACTCTAATTAGTAATCAAGTCATTTCCAAAGCGTCTGTCTTCTGTCCCTGACCCAACAGACCCTCAGTACAGTGACACCAAGGACGTCTGTTATGACTCACATAATCCTCTGGTTCAGTCATAAATAATTGCCTACATTCAGGGGTTAAATTGGGTTATTTTAAAGTGGGTCGCATTTCAAAGTTAAATGTACCAACTTGGTGTACTTGTACAGGATAGATTGTGTTGTACATGTAAACAGTGTATTCAATAAACAAACACGTGTTCAACATGAATGATCATCAAATATGATTGATTACCCAGCATAAAGAAGACATCTGCACCACATGGTAACAGAGACAGGGTCCATGTTTGAAGAAGGGGGATGTGTGTGTGTTTGTGATAATTTTGACGTATTCTTTATGAGTATTTCGACATACACTAAGACTTTTTTCATTAAATATTCAACAGACTAAACTATGACTTTTCTGTCAGCATATTTCTTATTTTCATGATATTGTTCAACATACTTTACTATGACATTATTCTTAACAATTTGACATACTATACTATGATTTATTTTCATGATATTGTTCAACATACTATACAAAGCGTTTTCAGTATAATATGGTAGGATTTTATTTCCTTTTTTCCTAAAATCTACGACAAACTATATTATGACTTATATCATATTTCGACATACTTTGAAATTACTTTTTTTGAAAATATCATTGATATACTAAACTATGACTTTTTTCATGAAATGTTCAACAGACTGTCATTTATAAATTAACATTTTCGACATGCCATGATGTAACTTTTTCATGGCATTTTCAGAATACTCTATATACTATGACTTATCTACTATTTTCAAATCATATCTTTAAACATACTACACTATGCTTTAATTTCATGATATTTTTGACATACTATAGTTTGGCTTTTTTCATGATAACATCTGCATTGTTGAAGATGTGCGTGACTGATTACCTGACAGTGTTGTTATCCGGCCCAATTAAACCCCTTGTTATATCCTAATGTACTCTTCTCCCTTTCTTTCCATTTAAAGCTCAATACCACACTCCCACCACAAGATGGCGAAAGCATCAAAGGAAAAAAAAAAAACACTTGACAACTTCTCTGCCTCGGAGACACAGAGCCAGTGACATCATCTGCGGAGGGACAGAGGGTGTGCGAAGGACAAATGTCTTGAAATGCATTACATCATTCTCCACTAATATGATAATATATCTCGGGCTCTGAGTGCAGTGCCAAGCATGAGAGGGGCCATAATCCATACAACGACTGCTTCAAATGTGAACAAGGGGATAAAATGGAAGGTGGTGGTGGAAAAGGAGGGGGGGGGTCCTCTGGAGTCGGGAGTGCAGAGCTGAAGGTTATTCCAGACATTATTCCTCAATGAGAGCAGGAGGAGAGAGGAGAGGATCATCAGAATTATGCACTAAGTAAAGACGAGAAATGGCTCTAATGCTTTCTGTCTGTCTTCTGTCCTTGTCTCTCCCTTTTTGTGCCATATCTGGGATTCTTTCTAGCTTTATTCCACCCTCATTGAGAGGTGGACTGAGGAGAGGAATGGTAACAGGAGGAATGAGGTGTTGAAATGAGACAGAAATTGGTAAGGAAATGGTTGCAGAGAGGAGAAATGA